TGTGTCTGATGTGGCTGATGCATGGGAAAGTGCGGGTTCGGCTTTGCACAGGGGTTACTCGTTGTATGAGGGATGAATAAGGATAGAGAAACTGATAGTGATCTATACTCCTTGACATTAATATGAAAATAGGCTCTTTCCTGCCCAGCATGGGTCCAAGTGTCACAACAGTCCAAGCCTTAGCTGATGGAGTGGAAAAGTCTTGGATCCTCTTCACTTGTCCAAAATTTAGCTGTGCTCCACAGCTACATCTGCTTAAGGAGTGGGCGCTGGATAAACCTGAGAAGTTCTGTCATAAGCTTCATGTTGATCCCCCAGTCTGTTACAGTAACATGAGTCCCTGCTCTACGATTCATTTCCTAGACCTCCAATTTACCAGAGCAGTGCAGCTGCCCTCCCACCTAGATCTATCTGCTCATATAGATTGATTGAAGATATCCTGAGCAGCAGAGATATGCTGGCTCTGTTATGCAAGCAGTCTGGACCGCTATGACCTCACCACAGCCCAGAAGGCCAGTTCCTGATACTGGAGGCTGTCCACCTCATGTCCTACCTAGAGGGATTGCCTCATGTACCATTATCTCTGACTCACCATGACTTAGACAGATTCCCAGTGTAGAGACTCATGCCTCTCCTTGTGCAATATTGCAGTTTTCACCAAGGAGTATACAGCACGAACTTGTAGCATCACTCTGTATGCTTCCTACAGCTATTCCTACATGAGGCGCAGCTTTCCTGCGCTTCACGATGTATATGCGTGCGAGCTTTCCCACGCTTGAGCGCCCTATAGCGCCAGCCATCCGGAAGCATCCATCCACTGTCCACCAAGTTCCCTAGTGCGTATATTTCCATTTCTCACATTTGCATATCATTCCATCTTTATTTTTATCATGGACCCTTACTTACATATATTCTTACATACCTTACTTGGTAGCACTTCGGCTCCGCATGACAGCGCTTAGGCGCCATACTTAAGCGCCAGCAGTACATACTATTACTCACTTACTCACCCACGAGAACGACGGAGGACTGAACCAGAACAATACCCATTTACTACCCAGCAGAGCATAGTTGAAATCTATTCCTCGGCACCTCACATATAACATCTCTCAGCTTACATCTCTCACCTCTTGTCAAGTGTCTAATCATCACTTAAGCAAACTCACTCTTACTCTCTCTTGTTTCCGCATACACGCACACACATTCCTGCGCTTCGCGCATTCTTGTGCCGCGCGCACCTGCGCTTTCCCGCGCTTCACATTCACCAACCAGTAGTGCCTTCGGCGCCTACTACTAGATCCTTGCTGCACTCACTTCCCCTTTAGGGTCGAACACACTTGTCGTCTCAAGTATAGCAGACTAGGCAATGCGCGACCTTACAACATTTATAGATACAGTCAGGAGCATTGTTTGTGCCTCACTGTATCATTGAACCTTCACCAGATATGACTCATATGAGCTCAGCTTGAACACTTATGTACAGACGTATAAGTAGAACTAGATTACTGTTGTATTCTTTACTTTGATCTACTTGGTAGTATCCCAGAACTAGTCTGATCAACTAGGATTTCCCTTGAACCATTGCACAACTAAAGTTTCCAACTTAGTCATCTTTGACTGCACTTCTAAGGCACACTCTTGCCTTAGCCATATACTGTACCTCCATTAGCCCTGTATCTTGATGAGCTACTATGCTTACTAATATAGCTGGAGGAGAACCTCTACTTCATTGAGGCACTATACAAACCTCCATCCACAGAACATCTATTCCAGACCTTGATGGCTTGACCTATCTAAGTCATAATAGTCTTTGCAGAGACTATCAATAAAATTGACAATCATCTTATATTCCATAACAACTCATGCAACCCTCAATTGCCAGTCCCAGTACAGCTTGCTATATTCTTGAATAGCACCAGCCACTATGGAAATGCTCCAACAACAGAAGATATTGTGGATTGGGCCAGTGAGATGGTATACAATTATCACTGTTGTGTCGTGGTTGCTATCCTTCAGCACCGTGACAATGTAATCTACTTTGATCTGCTTGATTATGATGATCAAAACGAGCGAGAGAGAGCAAAGGACTGGGTTGAAGAACAGACTTGTCCAGAGTGGAGAGGTGGATTTCTTAGTGTTAATGGCACACCATTCAATCTGTTTCAGAAGTCTGGGTGGCATGGTGAGGGATTTTATGACCATAAATTGAATTATTCATTGTCAGCCCAAGTGCATCATAAGTTAGAGCAGAGAAAATCAAACTAACATTTTCAGAAGGTCATAATTATGCCCCACAACCTGCGCATTGTTGATTATAAGACTGGAGTCCCCAGGAGTGTCCACAACTCAAATGTGTTTGCAAAAGCTTGAATTGTATGTCATTTATAAACATTTTTTTTGGGAAAATGAGTGGATCTGGGCAGATTCAGCCTATGGTGCTCACCCATGGTGTGTTGTACCTTTTAAGCAACCAGCAGCTGGTAGATTGATGTATGATCAAATTATCACCTGTTGAAGGTAGTACAAACTGTTCTCTGAGTCACAACTGTCAACTCAACATCTGTAGGTCCATGTTTGCTCTAAGCATTGCTATGGTTATTTGAAAGGGCAATTTATGAACTTTGAGTTCAAATATAGGCACAAAAAGACCTTTATGAAGTAAATATGTGGACATGTTGCTGCTTTATTCTGCATAATATGATTGTCGATATTGAGGAACAGCTTAGCAGTACTGGTACGTTCAATCATTTTCCCCAGGAAGCAAGGCAGTGGGGTCATGGAGTATAGGGCAGTGAACAGGAGGATGAGGATGATGCTGAACAAGAAGGAGCTGGATCTGAAGGTTTTATTGGGTCTGAAGGACGGATTTTTTGAAACATGCTGATGGGCCAGTTACTATGATATCAACAGTGACAGGTAGTAGATATATACTTTAGTAAATTTACCTAAGGACCTAGAATAAGTGATGTGAGGAAAGTGTGGTAGACAGGATAATAAGGATAATAAGGACAAAAAAGCCAAGCCACCAAAGAAGAAATGAGAACTGCCTCTGCTGACTCATGTTAGCAAGAAGAAAAGATGAGGACCAGCTATTACCTTAAAGCTTCAAACTCAAGGAAAATACAGTGGCCAGAGTGACTTCAACTAACACACATTATATTCTTCTAGCATACATCATAATTTTTGAACCTACGATAATGAAGAATAAGCCTAGAACACAGTAAAGAATTTGTGAGCTAAAATGTTAACAGTGAGGAAAGGGAAGCAAAAGCAAAACAAACATTAGGCAATTAGTTGTAATTTTTAGCACTGGGATCCTGATGAGCCAAATCTCTTTCCATAATCAAACATTCCAATCTTACTTGCTCAAGCTTGATCTCCAATTCCAGCTGCTTTATCCATTTATCTGCCGTTGCATGCTCATGGTTTTGAATAGCTATTGTGCTCTGGAGTCCATGTTCATGCTGTAAAGAGTTGATTCTGTGTAGGCGCTACAAAAGTTGTTACCTTAGAACTCAAGGTGCAAGTGTAATGTTCATCTCAAAGAGACTGCCTATAGAGCTATCTCTTGATATACAATGCAAAGGATTATCTTGTTAAGATCAAAGGAGAAAGAACAGAAAGGTCACTCATAGTGCATTTGATGTTCTGAAGATATGTCTGAAGTACTGAAGTACTTGTCCAATGTGTCTAAAGGTGGTCCGAAGTCAAGAAATGAAGGTCCGAGGTTGCGTGAAGTGTCCAAAGAGCTTCTGCTGAACAGTGAAGGTTCCAAGAGAGAAATACGATAGGTATGTCAAAGTATAAGACTTGCAAAGTACGACTAAGCAAAGTCTATCGGAAGAACTTAGAGACAGCGAGATGCAAAATGGTAGCAGTCAAGCCAAAAAATCGTTCTGAATGAACAAAAGGATTGATTGTCCGAAGTACAACTATCCAAAAGTGACTCTACTAACTATGACTTGTAGCAAGGGAAGTGAAGTGAAGTGCAAGTAGCTAGTGAGCCAGATTATATCCTATAGCATGAAAGTCTGGAAACTATGTAGGTGAAAGTAGTAGTGAGATAAGCTATCCAAAATGTAATAAGACTTGAGGCGAGCCACTACAGAGATATGCATGTAATAATACACAAGGTGTGCTACCATATGTACTATTCAAATAAACGAGGCTTTAAATGGGCCAATGATATGTGTGCCCCTAAGACATAATCAATAATAGACAGACAAAGTGAAAATGCGCCAGCAAAGTCAAACAGATATGGACAGGACATGGTATGGAGGATCGGAAGTGTAAACAGGCCTTGCAAAGGGATGGACAACCTTCAGACAACTCAGGAGAATGCACGGAACCTTCGGAAGGTAAAAGGAATGTTGAGGAGTGCAATGTGAGATACCTGTAAGATTGGCAGGATATGTGCCCAGCACCAATCCAAGTGCTACAACACTCAACATGAGATTCGCGCATCTTCAGCTCTTTGCTTGCCAATTGGGTCTCTAGCTTGAGGAATTTGTGGTCAGCCTTGACTATGGATGCCTCATGTATGTACTGAACGAGTGTATCTAATGCTTCATTCAGCTTCATAGTGAGCTCAGCTATTGGGTCTCATGGCCGTTTGTGAGATACTGATCAGTTATGAGATGTAGTCAGTGATTGATCTAAGTCTTGATCAGATGATACATGACCACCAGAAGTACAAGAAGTATGAACACTAAGGCTGGCCTTGTGTGAATGCATAGTAAGTGATTTCATCATGTAGCTTGCAATAGTGTCAGAGTCCTCAGAGGTATCCATCTGCATAGACACAGCTCTGGCTTTGCTACCAGTGGTATTAGTGGATGGCAAGGGGTATTTGGGCCTATTCTCTGATTTGAGAGAGTTGAGGGAGATCTCATTGGATTCTAGTGGTGAAATGCTTTGCTGCATTGTGTCGAGATGGGTGATAAATGGGCATTGGTAGTGGTAAAGGTTAAATAGTTGAAAATGAATTGAAGAAGCAGATGTCAGTGCCTGGGGAAGTTGAGGGCAAAGGAAGCATGAAGATGGAGAGCTAGAGGTATCATCTGGACTATCCCAGCCTAAATCTTCATCATCACAGAATATATATAACTTAGAATTATCAACTCATACAGGAGGATCATCATCTTTATAGGCCTTGCCATCCAAAATTTCACCTGGCTCAAGGTTCCTATTGAGAGCATCTGCATCTCCTCCCTCATTATCCTCACGATCTGCATCATCCAGAGTCTCTTTTCCTTTTCCTTTGCCAAAGACATCCATTGCCTCAGCCTTGAAATCCTGACCCGGTTGGCAGTCGAAAATAATATATTATAGGCAGGATTGGTTCTCCACCACCTGTGGAGGTCAACCCACCATGTAAATGTTTGTAAGAGGCAGTCTACAAAATTGTTAGAGTGTATGCCTGCAGAAAAAGAGTGTACTAACCAAGAAGCCTCCTCGTTTTCTCATTCTCATTGAGCTTCTCAAATGAAAGCCTAGCACCTGTTTGACTGAGTTGTAGATTGATGTCATTATACTTTTTGCATAGCCTAAAACATCTTGTTAGTAGCCAGGTCGACACTGAAGGACATAGGAACACTGGAAGCAACTCATGATGTAAATCAGCCTTGAATAGGCTTCATAAAAGTGAGAGGGTGTGCTTGAAAGTATTCCCTAACCTTCGGATCTTTATTGCTTGCAAAAACAGATGCTATGAGCTACTGCATATAGGTGTTCTTCTGAATGGTCATTTGCTGACATATGTGCCCTTCCTCCTTTGCATCCTTAGCAGAATTGGAGAATATTTTTAATCGAGCATCTTGGTTGATTTTGCACCACTTGATAAGGCAAGCAGTACATGGACTGTTCTTCTTCTTCCAGTATATAGTAGGCATCTTAAGTGCTGAAGCTGATCCAGTGCTGGCAGGTGGGCTGGCACTGGGAAGAGCAGAGGAATCAGCTATCAGTTCATGACTACTACACTTCATTGAGTGACTTCAAGATCAACATCTATGACCAGTCACAACTCCTGCCATGATGCGCCATGGGACACAGTGAGGAGCCACATCTAGTGTAGATGATTCTACTGGTAAGTCTAATCATTGTGATACGTCGGAGTTCAAAGCTCCTGAAATTGCCATGTAGTGCCAAAGTTTTTTTCACAGTTGGTATTTCATGTAGTTACTCTAAGACTCATTATGGGTTCATGAGTTATACAAACTACTTTGTTCCATGTGGGTGCAAATTATGAGTGCTGGATTTTAAACTAGCTAGTGCTAGCTGGAGCTCCCACCCTTAGGGGCTCATTCTTCCAGTAGTGTAGTTAAGTTCAGAGGCTCTTTAGTTTAATTATATAGTATTTTCCTCTGCCAAAGGCATGATTCAAATCAAATGTTTTGTTCTATGTCTCCCATGACTTATGGGTTCATGAGTCATACAAAAAATTACTAATATATCAGTGAATCAGTGAACAGATAAGAAAGATATATATAAGGCAATATAATGTCAAACATTACAACAATCCAGGCTATACTATCCATATTATATATAATTGAGTCTGATAAGAAATTATATGGTTATGTATGGTGCTCTCTAGTCCTTGATGAGTGACTCCTGATGTATAATGAATTCCCACCATACATAATGCTATCCGCTCCATCATTTCTCAATCCAGCTACCTATTTTGGGTATTTCCTAGCCTAATTCAGTCATTCTCCTTTTTGCATACTCTCGGCAGGATCTGCCATATATCTCATGGTTCTCCACATCCTGAATTAGCAAAAGATTGAGATTTTGTGTTGTAAGGCAGGCTTCTCTATAGTTTGCTGTACCTTTGATGGGCTAGGCCTTGTTAATTTCTGTGTTAAGACTGGTTGCTCTTGTGCCTGAATATGTCAAATTTCACACTATGTCCTGTCTGCCTTGAAATCAGCCTTTCACTCTCACAAATTACAATGTCTCAACCAGAAATATGCTAAAATTCAATAATACAAGACATGTAAACATTACTAGACAAACTTGGTATTACCAGTGGTACTGGTACATGAAACTAACAGAACACACTGCAGGCATGTTCACATTTCCCTTCACCAAATATCCAAAAAACATTGATTGAGAAGATAGAATTTTACTCTCATTTTATCTATCAAAACATTGAAAAAATTTAATCATGTTCCTTCAAGGATAATGCTGTATTTTCCATCTACTGCCCTGTAAATAGCAGCTTACAATAATGTTCATTTTCTTGTCTGTGTTTTCAAATATACACAGAACATTCAAAGAATATAGTATATTTGAAAAAACACAGAGAATAAATTTAATATTATTGTAAGCTGCTATTTAAAGAACAATAGATGGAAAATACAGCACTATCCTTGGAGGAACATAATTAATTTTTGCATTATGTCCCACACACAGAAAATCATTGAAACATAAATTACTTTTTTCAATATTTTAACAGACAAAATGAGGGGAAAATTCTATTTTCTCAATCAATGTTTTTTGGATGTTTGGTGAAGGAAAATAGGAAAATACCTGCAGTGACATGAAACCAACAAAACATGAAATATATGTAGTATAGTCTCACATAGCCTTTTTCTTCCTAGAAATTGAGTTAGTGCTTGCAAATACTAAGGACTCTCAAAAATAACAAATCTCTTTGGAACATCTGAGTCACCTATGTTATCAGCCTGTGCCAAACATATCATCTACTGGTGCATACACTTCGTCTTCCTAACGGCAGGAACAACTGCATCATCGACTTTAGCAATGCAATGACCAGGCGCAAGTCTAACACTACCAGAACCACTAGCAGAAGATACTATGAGTGCCAGCTATTCTACAACCTGGGTAACCTCAATGATAGATGACATAAGAGAAAAATCCAAGTTCCTAACATTAGAGGCACTAGCAGAGGATACTGCTGGTGGAACCAAAACCAGAGTGCCTCTAGTGTTGGGTAGATATATAGAAGAAAAGTCATCAGAAAGGAGACACAGAATAGTGATAAAATAGCAATAGTGGGTGTAGTATGGAAGTGAAGGTAAGGAGGTGTTTCAAAGGCAGGTAGAATATACATACCTTTCCTCCATGATGTGATTGGAGTGTCTGGCAGCAAGTGTCCCATAGTGGATGCTAGTGTAGTTGCACCAGATAACATAGAGTGGTCAGGTAAATTAAAATCAAAGTTGGATGCTAGCATGCTGGTTACACTGGTGTTGTATGAATAAAGAGATATAGATGTTGGTGCTGAAGTCAGTGGACATTTGGTTGTCGAAAATAAGGCAAGCACTTAGGTCATCAAGGTTATGAGAGAAATTGTCAAAGATGTCATCAACACTTGGTTGGATGTCATCCTAAGACAGGGTGCCTGAAAACATGATAGGAGCATGCAGGACAGCTTCATATGATGCTGAAGTTGGTGAGATATCTTCTGGTGACCTAGGTTCCTCATCCGAGAGAGATGGAGTCATAGGTGGGGTATCATTTGTGAGTGGGGCAACAAAGTTAATGACACAAGACTTTTGAATATGTTCTGTTATTGAATCCAATTAGTATGCATGACCAGTCATCAAGGAAAACATCACTCACAGAACAGTGTTTCAACAAATTCTAAGTATGGATTGAGATGCTTCTCGACAAACTTTGGAGTCACTTGCTTCCAATTGAGTCCATCTTTATTCACTCCTGTATGGTAACTAAGAATTCCAATTTGAGCTTTTGAGTGTTCTGAAAACAAGCAAGTGAATATGAAATGCATCTCATTGCATTTAGCTGACCATCAAGATGAGGGTCAGGCCCAACACCAATAACAGTCCATTTCCACCCTGTTATGTCCTTGATGACTTATAAGAACTATGTGATGAGAGCAGTATACTTCTGGAGAGTCCTGGTAATAATGCATAAGCAATGTGAAATTAGTTTTACAGGCAAAAGCCAAACTGATATTGCATACTATTTATTGGTAGGTATGAATTTGTCATCTTACACATTACAGGTGACTTTTGCTTGATGCTCTTTTTGTACTTTCTCCTCACATTGTTACAGTAACATGGCATGAGTCCCCTGCCAGCAGACAGCCCTCTGCCACCGCACGGCTACAGACGATACCGGAGTCTCACCAGCTCTATGACAATAGATGATGATAGATGATAAGCGGCAACTGCCGGCTTAGATAAGCGGTCTGGACCGCACGTGACGACACATGACGACATAGGTCTAGAAGACCTATTTATGTTATCAAGATAGAAGGCAAGCCTCGTGCTGCCTCATGTACTGATAGAAGGTACCTCATGGATCCTATCTACGATAGAAGCCCGCCTCATGGACACTATCTCTGACTCATGTAGATAAGCAGATTAGAACCCAGCTTTAGGCTGAGCTTAGATACGAAGAGTAGCCTTATATAAGGTTGAAGATTAACAGTAGACGTTCCTTACTTTAATCTTACTAGGTTTACCCTTGAACTCCTTGTCCCGCTAAAGCTACCTGCTCGACATCGACTCGTACCTTCAGTGACGCCTCTCACTGTCTGTAAACCACTATCATCTCAGTGTAACCCCTCGTTAACCACCACGAGCTACGTTCGAGTACGCAACCTTTGCTTGTCTGTAAAGGCCGACGACTCTCAGCACTCGGTACCACTGTCGTGGTTGTCGCTGTTAGATTATCCTAGTCGCACACGACCGTTTGTCGTAACACACATAAGGCTTGGATATCTGCTGATGCAGCTTTATATGCTTCATGTGTAAGTCTGTGAACAGTAGACAACTTTTCATGTTTAGTCACAAGTTCATCAGACTTAATAGCATCTTAAACCTGCTCTTATACTTCCTCCTTATAGGCAATAGTTGAAAAAATCTTAGCAGAGGTATGAACTTGAGTTCCTTTTGCTTTATTCATCAATGTCTTCTGAATGACTTTAGTCATTGAGTTCACAGCCAAACAACCACTCTGTTGCAACCTATAATTGAACCAAGTTCTTATTTGCTGTTTCAGGTGCATTAGTATGTACATTATGATTGATGAGGTCCCTGTCATGAGGATATTCTAACTTGTTTCTACTTCTGAAGTGCTTCCTGCAGAACTTTATTCTCATTGGTATGAGGATCGCCAACAGGATTATTTTGAACACTACATCCTCTTCTGGCTACTTTTTGAACCATTCAAGGTATATTGGATCCTAGTACTGTGAAACCTTAGCCTGTAGTTGTGCTAACAGAAACCCGCTGTAGTATGTCTCTAGGAATTCCTTTTGCTCAGGCACAGTCCAGGTTGCTCCTGCCATCTTATTCCACTATCTAAGCTAAATTAATCGTGACTTGGTGACATGTCACACTTACTTTGTGGAGGTATGTTTTTTTTTGAATAACAGGCTAATCACATTTTGTATATGCCTACTACTATTACCATGAGCCAGTCTGAAAATTTTATATTGACCATGTGGAGTTGCCTGCTACTATTACTATGAGCCAACCTAAAATTTTTATAGTTGATGACACATCTTTAACCAATCAGCAAGCATGCACTCTGAAGTGGAGTTAAAATCACTCAGTAACTACTGTCATCTGCTTGTTCTCTATTGTCTTTTACTCACACTCCACCTATTCTGTTTCAGATGCAGAGCTTAAGGAGTGACAGTGTAACTCATTCATTGACATTCACCATACTATCTTTTGCCCAGAGTTGCAAAATGTTCCAACCAGTTTTTGAGAACACAACAACAACACAACATTAAAATAAGAAAACAACAGGAGCATACAGGGTTTGGTATATATTCTCATGCTATGTAAAAAAAATACAGAAATCTGACAAGGCTATGTTGCCAGAGAGAAGCCAGTATGAAACAGTGTTTGAGCCCAGAGTTGCAAAGTTTCTCCACCTAGTTAGTCCAATTAGTAAGCCTTATTAGGCTTAATGATCTTGTGCCTCACCAACTATACTTAGGCTTGGATGTAGTAATATCCTAACACCAGCATTAAACCTCGCCCCAAATCATCTCATACTGTTAAGAACGTGCTCAATGGTTCGGATCCAAAGGGCTTGGCTTTAGCTCGTGTGCTGCACCCCTTACCTGAGTACATGCCCCTAACTTCTGAGGGCTAAAGGAAAATGTCTGGAGTCCGGAGTCCGATGCGCAGGAATTCCAGTGAACATTCGGGAACAAGTGATAAGACTAATCCAGACAATGTCCAAACTAGAAAGGAAACAGCAGATGACTACCTAAGATAGAGGCGGAGGTGGTAAGTCAATAGGAGTCGATCCTAAGACTGTTGGAGATGACAAGAAGAGACTCAAGTCGAATGGAGGAGGGAATGAGCAGAATCTAAGATAATATTTGAACTGAAGAAATACAGAGAATTTACAGGGTTTATATACTATGAAGGACATAATAGAGAATCAGTCAGTGCAGTGCGAGGCTATGGATGGAGCATGTGAAACACCTAACACTAGTCTATTGGAACTCAGTAAAATGAAGACGGAAATGAATAGGGGACAGAAAATAAAGCATACTAACTGATAAAGGAAATACTAAAGGGAAAAGGCACAGAAGATAAAAGCTAACCAGATCCGGAAGTCTGGAGATGATTGTGTGATTGGTCCGGGTCCGGAATGCGGGATATGACACATACCTTCTCTATACCACTACAATAGCTAGTACCTATCCTGCCCCGCCTTTGATTCTGGCACTTTCCGCAGGTGCGCCTGCCTTTGTTATAGCTGTTGATCTGGCAGGTTCTCACACCTCCTTCCTCACTGCTGCTCACTGCAGACAATCGCTCCCACCTCTACAACCTAGTAGCCACTATCCTGGCTCTCACTGTGCTCTATAATGACCACTCCCTTCAAAACTCTGGCACTCAAGTGGTCTGTATGTCCTTGCAAGTTGCCCCCAGGCACTGCCTGCCTCCATCATCGTTCTCACCTCTGCCTCCTTGTCCCACCAGTTCCATTGCTCAATTGGTCTGTGCGCCCTCACAAGTTGCCCCTAAGCACTGCCTCCCTCCCTCCATCATCGTGCTCATCTCTGCCTCCTTGTGTTACGCTGACCGTCGGTCAGCGTGTGCGAACTTGGATAGGTCTTCTCAGTGTCGGCTCGAGTGAGCCCACCAACGTTGAGGGTGTTCGGCGACTTGACGGAACGTCAAGGGTTCCTCCGGTTATCTCGGTAAGACGGCGCTCGTCAAGATACAGGGCTAGTGGATATGGCTAAGGCGCGGGGAGTGACTTAGAAGTGCAGTTTCAAAGTAGAACCAAGTGGATTAGACAAGGCTAACTCTAGGGATGACCAAGTAGATTAAAGTAAAGTCTAAGTACAATAATCTGTCTACTTATAGGGTCTAACTATAAGTGTTCAAGCTCAGTCTGTAATCTATAGTATATCTAGAATCTATGATAACAAGACATGAGGGTCAGATAAGGTACATGAGGCTTTACCTCTGATCAAGCATGCAGCGCCAAGTGCGACTGCACATAAGTACATGAGGCGCCAAGGGCGCTCCGGATCTTCATGAAGCGACATGCAGTATGCATGCACTGATCTAGGGTGACCATGAGGTGTACAGCCTCCATGGATCAGGTACAAGGCTGTCTAGGCCAGGGGTGGTGTCACAGCGGTCCAGACCGCTGTCTTTCTAAGTGCTGGCAGTGTGCCGCCGCGTCGGGAGTCTAGCAGAGCGGGGGCTGGTGTAAGTGGAGTGGGGGCTCCTGTAGGTGTTACAGATGCCTGTAACACCTTATCCCATCAGTTCCTCATGTCTTGTGGGTGAAGTTACTTCAAGCTCAAGGGCCTCTCCCATTCAGTCATCGCACACAACTTTCAAGGGTGACAGTGCCCATTTTAAGGTAAGTCCTATATATTTTACTATCTATCACTTCCAATGATATACAGACACCATATGACGATGCTGATCAATGCACCATTCTACTTAGGTTTCTATTGGGATATGCTGGGGGGGTGGGGGGCGGAATATTGAATCAGCATTTGAGTATGCAGAGCAACCATATATTTTCACTGGGTACTTAAGAACTATGTATGCACAAGTCTATTAACATGCTACCTTCATACTACCTTTGCAAACTGAATGACACATAACTCCAAATTGAAACTATGGAAGTGAGGGAGATCTTACTCCAACAGTGTACTAGGTGCAGGGCCGAACAATCTTTCTAAGTTGGCCAAAATGGCATTGCAGTCAAGGGTGTTGAGGCTTATATACTGATCAAAGGACCCAGAAGCACTGAAATTTCTGTCCAAAGGCTGAGGAGATGTGGTATCTGGAGAGGCAGAAGCAGTAGCAACCACAGATGGCACTGCTGACTCGTGAATGGCCTCATCAGATGGCACTGCTGACTCACGAATGGCCTCATCAGATGGTGCTGCTGACTCCTGAACGGCCTTATCAAATGGTGCTGCTGGCTCGCGAATGACCTCATCTCCCTCCGCATCACTGTTGTCATCACCAATGGTCTCTGTGTGTTTCTTTCCTTTGTCTGATTGAGGTCGATGATAATGGTCAGCTAGCTCACCGCTCTTGAGCTTCTCTTTGCACTCCTTACAGAGTTCCTCAAATTCTTCATCACTCAAGGACTTCCAGTACATTGCACCAGACTCCCACTTGTGCAAAAGCATTTGAAGGTCTAGAAGTGTGCTCGATACCTGACTAAGGTTCGTAAAAGGAATCTTCTCAGGCCACCCTTCCACGACGACCTGGTAGTGTTGGATAACATTGTGGAAATAGTAGACCCATTGCATCTTTGCACAATTATCACCAGTGATCTCTTCTATAGAAAAAAAATTATTTAAACCATTGTCGAGAAGCCCCAAAAAAACTACTCATGAAGCTTGCGGTTGATGATGTCGCAGATTTCTGAATGTGTGTTGGAGACACATTGCTTGTGGTTTTTCGCAGCACCTGAATGAAATTAGACTGAGAACACAATAGTATGCAGGACACTAACCTTTCATCCCTTGGACCGCAAAACCTTCTATTTTGCTTACTAAATCTTGATTATCAACCCCCATGACAGTACCCATGAAGTTTTCGATGCCTTCAGTAGCAAATGCAATACCATGGAGAGGATAGTCTCTGCATCTGTATGACAATGTAAACTGTTGAGCTAGTATTCATGGGGCTGTGTCAGAGAAACAGAAAGAAAAACGAACAGAGTCAGAACACACCTCATTTTCCACCGCCTTTAAAGTGTGTGTGATATCATTAATCTTTGATTTCATCGAGGTACAAACACCAATAGTCTTTGTCTCCTTGAATTCAACAAACTCAGTAAGCAGTTTGTCTTGTTCCTCCTTTGAGAGGGTGAAGTATTCATCCTTGTTATCGTGTACGAGCGATTGGAGCGCAGCTGTACCTAGGCTATCTGAAAAAAATCATCTGTGAGCACGATGAAGCATGACAGTGTGATAATAAAATAAACTCACAGTTCTCTTTGTCCTTGTTCTTCTTCCAACAGAATGTGTTCCATAGATTGAGCTTTGAGTGTTTTGACCGAATAGGTCCACGACTTATGTATAGATCATTTTGAACATGGTGGAAAGAGCGGTGCGAGCTTCCTTCCTAAGCACAACCTTGGGACATTGACGAACAGGGTGGCTGAACATGCCTTGTGCTTGAACTGCGTTTCTGAGAATAAAAGGACTGGGTAATCATTGGCTACGAGGGAAGCAGTAGATACTAATCAGCAATGAATGGTCAAGTTTTGATTTAGCTATTTAATGCACCAAGGATATGATTTTTTGAAGACCAGCATTCTCAAGTGTAAGGCAAAATGACTCATTATTCTATACTAAGCAAGGGCAAAACATTTGATATCTACAGTAATAACAAACCAAAAAGGTAAAGCGCACACAGCAATATGAGAATGCCGAGAAGCTTGAAGATGGAGGTAAGCCATGATGATTAGTGCTTTGCGGACATTAATACAATTTGCTTCAGAAATTGAGAATGGAAGATACCTAACTTTCAAGCTGGTGGCGACCTCAGGGTTAATGGACCATATATCCACTTGTAGGTCTGCAAGAAGGGCACTGGACAAAATAGCTGCTTTTTCGTACTTAAGGTCCCATGCCAGTGACCTTAATATGGCCTCCCAATGGCTACTGCATATGGTTCCAATCAAAGTTTGGAGCTTCAACACATTTTTGTCACCCAAGTTCAGCTGATCAAGTGTGGCATCTGTGTGAGGCCCAATGCTAATAAGCAGCATCCCAAAAGTTGTGGGATCACTAGTGACTTGACTCTGTGTGTGTCACCACCAGTGGGCTAGACTTGGCAAACATATCGGCTGGACAGCATTGACAGATCTCAGAGCATGGGGTCAATGGTGTAGTTTTTTTCGCACATCCAGCAGCCAATTCTCCTCCATAACAAATGGCTGCAGAGCTCAAAGAATCCAGAGAGGACTGCATACTGGTGAAAAAGACCTTGGGGGCTTGCACAGAGCACTGGATGCGAGTTCCTGTGGCAACCATAGGCGCAGGAAGGTGTTGTGGCCCATTAATACTAATATGAGCTGCAGGGACTTCAGAGCCACATTAGCAATGAAACAATGAGATAAATGATGAATTACTTACAGTTCCTACTGGGTTTCATATTTTTAACAATGCAGCGTACAGCAAAGCACTTGAGGTGAGGTACCGCAAACTCCTGCACAAATGCCTGCACCAAGACAGTGACATCTTCGCCAATTCTCTGTGGTGTTTCTTGTAGCTCATGGGGTGTGATATAGATGTCGATAGGAATTTGTTCAGGTGAGATATTTGGGGTTGCTTTACCACCAGCGCATCGAATGATGAGGGATATCCCACCATCCAGGCGGTCTTGCAAAGTGATCTGAAACATATTGTGAGGTTTAAGAAAAGAAATATGGGAACAACTGACTACATCAAAAACATCTTGGAGGGCTGCTTCAACTAGCTCGCTGTGAGTAAGGGTCTGCTCCATCTCATTCCCATCGATTGACTGATTGAAACCAATGTATGATGGGTGAAGACCCCCTGTGGTCCTCATCTGGTAATGTGTGCCGTCAATATGAGCATCATTCCTAAGTAGAGCCTATGCGGCAGCTTGCTGCTTATTATTGCTGAAACCTAGTGCAAAGGTAGGAGTACACAAAGCGGCAAGACCTGATATAGTGAAGCAGCTGAATTCTACCAGTTTGGCACCTGGAGGTTTGAAGGGCAGTGGAGGGGAGGTTGGTTTCATGGGCACAAATTTCTTGATGCTAGGTGCAGCAGAAAAAGGAAGTGCAGGTAAGTTGCAGTCAAAGGGTCTATTAATGCATAATGACTACTAGTCATGGTATTATTATGTACACCGATCAGCGACATTATATCACTATATCTACAAGTGTATGCGCATTTCTATATCTACAAGTGTATGTTACATTACCACCAGTTCTATATCTACAAGTGTATGTTACATTACCACCATTTCTGTATACACAAGTGTATGCGCAGTTCCGTCCGTGTCAACAGTTGTACACTACATTATCACATTTCTGCTAAGTTTCCCACATCGTTCATGGAACAATCAATTAATTACAACCAGACATACAAAAATACAACACTAATGATCTAAAGGTAAGTAAGAGGTGTCCAAGTGCGGTAGTAGGTTGTGCCCAAGTGCAGTAGTAAGTGGTGCTCCAGTTAGTCGATAATCAACTGTAAATAATCAGCCATGTCCTCCGTCAATGTCTCTTGTTCTTCATGATCAATGGTGTCAACATCAGTATACTCGGGATTAACAATGGCCTGGAGATTCACAAGATTGTCAGGTCACCCTGTGAGATACATCAGTATTGAATCCATGTGCTCCAACAAAATGTACCACTGTGGGCAACATCAGCATCATGCGCAAGGCGTATACCAACACCCCTCACTCCAGAAAAACCTGCAAGTTTCTCAATGCAATCCAATTGGTAGTGATGCACTGCATTAATAGCTGCACATGAACGGTATTGGTGCTGGAGCTTGCGGGCAAGCTGTGGATCTGAAATAAGAATGTCCTGTACAATGGCAGACATTCTGAGCTCTTCATCATGCATGGAGGTGTGCAGGTATTGAACTTCAATATTCAGATAAGTGGTTTCCTCATGGGCTCGGCAAAGCTTGAAGAATTTGGTAGTTGCTTCTCGATGACCCAGCTTCGACCAATCACTGGTTCAAATATCATTGCAAGAATATCGCAGAAGATCGAATTCACCTAGAAAACCATAGTCAGCAATATCTTTCCATGAAATCTTCGGTTGTGGTGGCTTGAGTGCTACAGCTTGAGTGTTGTAGCGATTAATTGCATTATGGATTGCATCCGGACAATGTTGTAGAGCCTTTCCAATCTGCTGCCGTAGCTTGTACCCTATCAAAAAATTAATTTTAGTGTACATATTTTGACATAAACAAACTTGCCTGTTTCCAATAATGATAGTTTCGAGAGTTCAAACAGCCTCATCACAACGAGGCACTCTAGCTCATCCAGGGCAGTGCAATACTTGCCCAGGGTTGCTTTCTCCTTGAAATGCTGGTACTCCGGTCTGCCAATCTCCCACTGCTGATCAACAGCCAATTCAACCTCAATGTGTGCAACAAGCACCTCGGCATTCTGTAACTTAGTGTAGGCAGTGTCAACTTGAATGGAAGCTTGTGTGAGGGCACTATTTATCTGCTCCAAGCTACCAGTGGGAATACTAGTAAGGGCATTGTTGTCAACTTCGTGGGCTGCATCCCAATCGGTTCTAGATCAATCAAATTATCAAAGCCTTAATTACAGTATGAAAGCTTTACTTACCGTCGTTCTGCAAGCTTGTCGAGGACCTCAACATAGTGTATGCAGAGTTGGTCTCTAACTGGTGGCAGCTTCAAACTGTCTAAGTGATCATATTCTTCTTTGTAAAATCAATGGAAGTCTTCATCAGTCAGAGATAACTCAGCCTTGATGGTCGTGAGCTTGGCAGTGAGTGTCTGAATCGCTTTCAACACTTCTTGATAATGATTCCAAATAAAATTGCCTGAACAAATCATTATTTGCATAATTGAAAGACTTGAGAAAAAAATACACACTGAGTGTGGCATACTTATCAGCATCCCAGAATGAAAAATGCTCACACTCTTTGCCCTCAGTGTCTGATTCCTGGAATGTACATAGGATGCCAGTCAAGCTGGCATCTACGATTATGAGCATGTCCATGAAATGCACCCACCATGAGCTGAAAGTCCAATTCGTGTGCTTGTGTACCCAAGGAACTATTACTTAGCATCTTCGAAAATGTGCATCTGATGTCATAGGCACATCCTCCATTCTTCCCATATACTGTAAGGAGCTTTTCGATTATGGCTAGCAGATATTTTGCCCTGTTAAATTAGCTCAGTAGTAGCAAAGATGAATTGAGAAATGACTTAACAATTCCCTGCTCCGGATCATGTCGCAGGCTAGAAGAATGCACCAATGATGACATGCTGCAATAAAAATGCCTGATTCGTCAAATACTGAAATTGTGTTTTTACGAGTTTTGGGTCCAGCATTGCGCCAGCGGTTGACGCACATGAATGTCCCACCGGCTTTAGTTCCGACTGTGTCGTCCATCCAGTTATCATTATTTGACTCCCTCTGCAGGGCATTGTCAGACTGTAGTTGCACGAAGAGAAACATCTTACTTCTCGTGTCCTTACTTCATCCTTGAACCTGTCTACATCACAGGCATCAAACCAGTAGTCAGACCGTGCCTTATGAGAATCTGGGCACCTTTTTGAGCCATAAATTGTCGAGTCCCACTGTTTCAAACTGTTATTGCTGTCGATAGATACCAGCCAATCAAATTCTAGTGCTGGCTCATCCTCCAGCTTATAGAAGCAAGCTGGGCATGAATTGAGCATGCACCAATGCAGCATGTCATGTTTGAGCACCATGCAAAGCCACTGATCCACATGGTGAAGGATGTCTAAATAAATGTCATAAGCAACTGACAGTTGTACACTGAGGTATGGTCTGTAGGGAATCTGATGACAACATTGTTAGCTAAGCTAAAAAGAGTTGTGTGGACATATATCATGAAGGAAACATAGAGATTTGACTTGGGCTTGAATGCTGAACCTAGGACAAGAGCGATGGATTTGACAGTAGGTGGCAAGAGTGCACAGTGATACAGCAACTGTTGGATAGATTGGTGTGCACCTGATGTAGCCATGATATATCAATGTCTCATTGGGGTATTTGTGGAAGGGCTGCGATCGAAGTGAGAAGTAGCTTTGTTCTGCAAATAAATTAGGGCATATAGAAGTAAAAAATTCATTTTACATACTGAAGAGATCAACAAGTTCTATGTTAGTCAGTGAAACACTGGGAGAATTGTCTAAAAGTGGTTCCAGAAGCTCATTGTCCAAGGTTGGCATGCTGTCTCCAGAATCATGAGAACAGTAATTGAGGTAAGATAGGCCTCACTCAAACACCACCAACGTCATGTGATGTATTTAGTCATGCTACTGCAATTTTGAGGGAGAAAAGGGTGACATTTGCTTATTTCAGAGGCTACACTACATTAAATAGTAATTGGCTTTCAGGTGTGACAGCCCATATGACCCTCCAACTATTCATAGGAAGCAGATTTGCGATTAGTGCCTGTAAATTGATGTAATAACACGATTTGTGCTCTGTCTTGCCTGACTAAGTTAAATACTTACTTGCTAGCCATGGGCAAATGGACTCACGCAGACTCAGCAAGGAATGCCAATCTTGCAAAGGCACTCCTCAAGAAGAATAAAATCAATGACGAGAACAAGGAGAATGTGAATACTCACATTAATTACAGCCAAAATTAGCTTTCTGATGTGAAGTTTCACAGGTTAATGATTCAGCGCAAATTTTGATGCCCAACGCGTCTGATGTGTCAAACGCGCCACTTCATGTGTTGAACATGTCAAACACGCCTGCCACATCCATCTGTGACCTATGGCAAGTGTTGGTCAATGAATCTGAGCAGCAGTCTCTCCAGTTAGACTCTGTGCCAGGGGTTGAGCAATACTTACCATTGGCTCAAGAGGAGGAGATATCTGAGCTCATACATAGTACAGAGACCAACTCGGAAGAGGATTTTGATGCCTCAGATGATGTGGCTGTGGGAGAAGAGACACAAGACTCTGTGCAAGATAATGAGCTGCAAGAAGGCCATGGTCGCACTTTACCCACCATTCCTGCCTGTCAATCAAGTATCATGGTCACTGCACTCTCCCATTGTCCATTTTCAATGATCTTGCTGAGCTCAATTAAAGCACCTAATATACCTACATACAAGCAGCTACTAAGTTACTATATACCTTTACATTAGGCATCTGTAGATTCTGTACCCTCAGCTTTTACTTAGTACACGCTGCAATATTTGAGTAGAGGGTCACACCATTGTCACATCACGTGATGTTGGTGGTGTTTGAGTGAGGCCTATCTTAAGTGTTCACAAGTAAGTCCAGCTGAAGATGCCAGTGTTTGGTTTGATTTTCTGTTCAGTCCTGTCGAGTGCGGAGATCAACATAGCGACTGGTGGATGGCATGAGCAAGAAGGTGTAGAGATAGGAAAATGATACATACTAGCCACTGACATCCGCTATTTTCTCAGCGAGTCCTTTAAAGGCTTCATATTCTCCACCTGCATGACTCATGTCCATCCCTTCCTCTACTGGAGGTGCAGTGCATGGTAGTCTGTCGACATCCATTCCACAGTTGGCCATCATATCCTCCACCAACTGATGATCCTTGTTTGGCATCTCTAACATGAGTAATATATGGTTGGTTAGAAGTGAGCAAAGTTAGAATATGAAGAAATACCTAGGATTTCAGCCTGATGGTGTGCATCCACAGCTTCTTTGCATTAAAACTGCCGGCTAGCTGCTAAGAAACAGGATTGGCGCTGTAGAGATACAACAATTGCTGGGCACTACACGAAGTAAGTAACCAGCAATATAAAAATATGTTGTGATTGTGCACAGCCTAGTCTGCTATACTTGCAAGACAAGTGCATTCGACCCAAGGGGCTTGCTGTTTGGTATTAGAATAATCAGTTATATGAAAAGGAAGATAGTCCGAGGCACAGGAAACAAAGTCCGAAGGTATAATTTTGAGTCCAATGTCAAAAACATCAGGTCCGATGTTTTCAGGTTTCGGGTTAGCAGGTTTCATCGTGTTTGCATCAGGAATATAGTGAATGTCGGGGATAGCAAATGTCAGATGTTTTGGAGTGTTTTGGATAAAGAATGGATGATATTACGGAATTCAGCTAAGAACTACTAAATATTGAATGACCTCCTCCTACTTGGAGGTAGAAAGGTAAGTCAAATAGGTAGGAGGTATGCGAAATATATAGTGTCTATGTAGAATTTCGGAGTGCTATAGGTGAAAGTAGTACCACTGATTTTCGGGTCCAATGTCCTATGTAATAAGTCACAATGTACTGTGGACATGTAATAACATGTTCTACAATGTTTAGTGATGTGAAAACAAGTAACTGTGCACCTAGTGGGGATAGATATGACAGGACAGGACATAGGGAGGACAAGTGCACGGGAAAATATCAGGTCCGATGCGACCAAAACATCAGGTTCATCAGGTTTCGTCGGATTAGCGGATTAGTATTGGGTTTAGCAGATAAACATTGGATTGAGCGGGTAAGTGTCGGATAACATTGAAAGTGATTCATGTGCAATGGATATTTGATATGCATGGGAAAATAGCTGAATACAAGCCTAGTGCGAGCTCAAGTGCTACAGTGCTGTTGCCCTCGAAAGTTGTATGTGATGACTGAATGGGAGAGGCCCTTGAGCTTGAAGTAACTTCACCCACAAGACATGAGGAACTGGTGGGACAAGGAGGTAGAGATGAGCATGATGATGGAGGGAGGGAGGCAGTGCTTGGGGGCAACTTGTGAGGGTGCACAGACCAATTGAGCAATGGAACTGGTGGGACAAGGAGGCAGAGGTGAGAACGATGATGGAGGCAGGCAGGCAGTGCCTGGGGGCAACTTGCAAGGACATACAGACCACTTGAGTGCCAGAGTTTTGAAGGGAGTGGTCATTATAGAGCACAGTGAGGACCAGAATAGTGGCTACTAGGTTGTAGAGGTGGGAGCGATTGTCTGCAGTGAGTAGCAGTGAGGAAGGAGGTGTGAGAACCTGCCAGATCAACAGCTATAACAAAGGCAGGCGCACCTGCGGAAAGTGCCAGAATCAAAGGTGGAGGTGGGATAGGCACTAGCTATTGTAGTGGTGTAGAGAAGGTATAAGATGATTTGAGGCAAGGTTGCTATGCATTGATCCTCCTTTAGAATCATTATTTAAAGAAAATGAGTGAAAGACAAGTGTGCTACATTATGATTTGTAACTTAAGGCCATTTTGCAACTCTAGGCAAAAGATAGTAAGTTAGTTAGCTGCAGCATTGACATTGATTAGGAATCAAAATGGTGAATTTTATTTTCTCAACAATTCATCTGACTGCTCATCAGACTTTTTGCTGCAGACCAGCACCAGGGATATTGTGAGAACCCTCCAGCATTCACACTGCACAAGCTAGGAGGAGCATTGTCATTAATTACTGACTAAAATTGTGAGTTTCATTGTTTTAATTCATCTGAATCTTGAAGCTAATTGCTTATTATACTCTCATTCAATAGAAATATTTACTGTGCACAAGGGTCATGATTTGGAGGAGTTGCTAAGTCCACTGACTGAACAATACCCAGCATGCATTTTATGTGCACACTACTGCCAATGCTATGTCTGTGGGATACCAATTGCATCAAGCCACATCACAATAGGCTTGGATGAAAGCAAAGGTGAAGCTATGCAGGAGAGAGGGAGCCAAAATTGTGATGTACTTATATGATGTACTTATAGGGACTTGTAAACATAGAATTCCGCCACATATTCTATATTATATTCCTTCTGAGCCATCTCTGCAGTATGATGATCATAGTGAAGGTCTGAGTTCCATGTTAACCTCAAAACAAGTTACATCCCAACTTCCTACACTACCTCAATTCCTGCTGGACCATTTCTGCAGTATAGCAATCATAGTGATAGCCTGAGTTCCATATGGGATGCTGTATGTTTTGAGATTGATTTCATCATTAACCTCAAAACAAGCTGCATCCCAACTTCCCACCCCACATCGCATATTCAAGCCCGAAACTCCCTGAAAGTTCTCATTCTGTTATTGTTCAGGAGTATATCAATGACTTAGAGTGATGACATGTACAAAACCTGTTTTGTACATGAACATGGCAAATATCTGGCTTATAATACCTTTCACAATAGCCTATGGTTCTACCCAGAATTTTCTATGCATTGTCCATATTTTATTTGAGTATTTTTGGGCTCAAATTGACTTAGTACTACTTAACTGTTTAAAATAAAACTTATTCTTCTGAAAGATTGCCTTCAAACATGTGAATTTTCAATTAGTCAGCAGTTTCTCACACCTCCTAGAATTTTCTCACACATTTTCACATATTCTAGGGTATGTTTTGTATTATGTTCTGACATATTCACATACATAGGTTTTTCATTTTTTACAGTAATGAGAAGAAAGATTGAAAGACTTCAAACTTCATTACATAATCAGTCACATGTGACTTGGTGGCACATTATGACACCCATGCAAAGCTTCTTCATAGCAAATATATAAGACCAACACTATAGTATTTAACAAGTTAATATCAGACTGTGAGAATCTCAATAAAGTTTGAATACAACTTTGGAGTATAGCATTTAGGCAGTGCAGAGGCAGTGTACATAGCTTTGTAGCACAGGTTAGCATAGCCACAGAGCACAGCCACTAATGTTAATTTGAAAGGTTTAGGAATATTCTATTAGACAACACCGGAGTTTGGTGGAATAGTCTGGAAAATTCTATGGTATTCTTTGAAACTTTAATAGTAGATTAGTAATCAGTAGCACAGCCACCTCTAGTAGTATATAAGGAGCCCAATTTTCCCTCTAATAAAGAGAGCTCCAAGCCAAGTTACAGAGAGCCCATTTCTATATTATCTAAGCTTGAGTGTGAATAAGTGAGTGAAAAATAAAAAGTGTTCATAAAGCTCTTTTTAAATTCTCACCCCTAAGATACTAAGTGACACACTAAGTGAAATATTAAGTTATTTCATTCCATTTTTTGACACTATTTCCCATAACATACAGAAGCATATTTGAGGCCACCATTGAGCCATACTTTTTACACTAGCTGGTACATGGTTATCAGTCATCTAGTGCAGATATATTCCAGTTCTCTTTTAGACACAGAAAATCTATTCTGTGGGGAGAATATACATATTTTCATCAGCAAGAGAAGACAAATAAGACTAACAGTCAGTCACTAATGAACTCATGCCTGTTGTGCTTTCAGCACAAATTGAAGGAGCGCTATGTGCTCCTTCAGGGGAGGAAAATGAGTGTTGTTCCTTCATCACAGGAAGCCAAGGAGGGCTACGCCCTCCTTTGGCTTCCTGGCCTCAGGCTGCATCCTAATAATCACAGCAGATAGAGATCACAAATTTCAAGATAAGTTACATTCTTTGAGCAAGATTTTGACAAAAAGTAAAAGTACAATCTACTACATAACATAAAAGTACAGAACATGTAAATCAATCATCAATAGGATCAGTCAGCCCTCTAAGTACTTCTGTATATACTACATTGGTTGTATTTGAGCCTTCTTCATGCTCAGGAAAGATAGCAAACACCCTGTCTGGGTGGGTGCAGTGAGATAAAGCCACATAGAGTTGTCCATGGCTGAAGACAGGAGTCCGCAAATTAAGGCCAACCCACTTGACGCTTTGACCTTGCGCCTTGTTGATTGTCATAGCGAATGCAAGACGAACAGGAAATTGGCGATGCTTGAGGGGGATTGGGTTCTCTTCAGAACTGGATTCCATAGTGATGTGAGGGATTAGGACTGTGTTCCCATCGACCTGCTGATCTTCATCGTCTCCATCCCTAAGAACACAGCACCTAAGGACATGGGTGGTCCAAGACAGGAGGATCATGCGAGTGCCATTATAGAGTCCCTGCAAGGGGTTCAAATTGTGCAAAAGCATCAGAGAAACACCTGCTTTGACCTCCAATTTGTGCAAAGGGAAGCCTGATGGGGCGAGGGTATGAAGGAACTCTGGTGGAATGTAATTGTATTCTCTCTCCGTGACTGAGTCCGCGCTGGTGAAGACTGCTTTTCCTTCAGGGAATGATTCCAGGATAGTGGCATTGATTTCATCCACATTAGTGTTTTTTGCAGAAAGAATGGTGCGATCCAGGAAGTATGAATCATTTAAGGGAGGATGATCAGGGAGCAGAATTCTTGAGTATAGGGCATTGATGAGAGACTGGAGATCATTGTTGGGACACCGCATTTGGGCAGGGAAAGTCACAGTTCCATCTTCATTTGTGCCCCTACCAGCTCCAATCTCAAGAAGCCACCTTGCAAAATCATCAGAAGTGGGATCTTGACCAAGATACATATTTCTCTTGAGATGGAATATATGAAGCCTTGACCAAATGCAAGATCTGCAAAAGGTAGCACCCACTATCTGCTCCCTGGATCCATGAGGCACCACCGGCAGGGGTCTGTCTGAAGTCTTCTCCAAAGAGCATTGTTTTTCCTCCAAAATCAGCATCAACATTCAGAAGATCACATAATGTGCGGTCAAGGCATTCCAGGATGTGGTGGTGTAACATCAGAATTTCATCACAAATGATTAGGGAGGTGGCCTCGAGAAGCTCATGAAGAATG